GATGTATGCAATGGTTTGCACTAGACCCGACTTGGCGTATGCTGTTGGAATGGTAAGCCGGTATTTGTCAAACCCCGACAAAGAGCACTGGGAAGCAGTGAAGTGGATCTTCAAGTACCTCCGAGGTACGACAGACTTATGTCTCTGATTTAGAGAAGGCAAAGCCGAGTTGCAAGGCTACTCGGATTCTAATTTAGGGGGAGATGCCGACTCAAGGAAGTCGACTACAGGATACATGATGAGATTTGCCGGAGGAGCTGTCTCTTGGCAATCAAGACTTCAGAAATGTGTTGCATTATCTACAACTGAGACTGAGTACTTTGCCGCTACTAAAGCAAGCAAAAAGATGTTGTGGATGAAGAAGTTCCTCATGGAACTCGGCATGATCAAGACAAGTACGGGCTGGGTTGTGACAATCAAAGCACAATCCATCTTGCGAAGAATTCGACCTATCACTCCCGCACTAAGCATATTGATGTGAGGTATCACTGGATTTGGGATGTGGTGGAAGGTGGAGAGCTCGAACTCGTCAAGGTGCACACTGACCATAATTGGTCCGACATGATGACAAAGCCGGTTCTAGCAAGAAAATTTGAAGACTGCTGTGAAGGAGCCGGGTTGATGCTGAAGCCGACGCATTGAAGTCGGAGGGGGAGATTTGTTGGGCTTCCTCCTTCAATGCTAAGCCCGAGCCCATTGAGGGGTTTCCTAAAAACTCTAACCCTAGATCTCACCTCCTCTCTATATATTCATTATTTGTGGGTGGAGGCTAAGTTAAGAGATTAGAGAAAAATTTGAGAGATAATTATTTGATTGTTTGAGCAAAGCTTTATGCTTTGCATTTGAGAGATCTCTAGAAAAAGTTTGAGTGAACATCTCTAGGGTAGTTTGATTATCACCATTGTTGGAGAGGTTGAGTTAACCACCACATTGGTGATTCTGATTATTTGTAACCATTATTTTCATAGTAGATTTTTGATCTGGACTAGGTCCCGTGGGTTTTTACTTTTTCATTGAAGAAGGTTTTCCCACGTTAAATCTGGTTGTATTCTTCTTCTCTCTCTTGTTTTGTGATTTTTCGTTTTGATTTTTTCGCTGCACTGTCCGACCTGGTGAAGTTCAGGCCGAGGTATTGTCGAGATCCGCGATCAGGATCTTGTTGATTGACTTCCGCACAAAGGCTGATTAGCCGAGCTTGAGGGAACCGATTTCCCAACAAAAATATCATAAGCTTAAAGGCCTCCTATAGAGATTTTAATCTGGATTATACATAACATATATATGTCCCAAGAATGAAAAATGGAGGTTACTCTTCTCTTCCATTTTGTGATGAAAACTGTTAGGGAAGTTAAGCCTTTGCTTGATGGCAGAACGGGGATGAAAAGTGAAGTAAAAAAGTTAGTTCTCACATGGAAAGGAAACAACTGTGTGTTTGCCACTGCCTTTTGTACCCAATAAAATAAATTAGGATCACATGGACTTAAGTATGTCTTAAACAAACTTTATGCGTAAGATAAAAATTTAGGCCCATCTTGGGATAGGTTTGCGTTTGGGTTTGCTTAAACGGTCCAGGAGGGGGCAGTGAGACAAAACATGTTACTATTCTTCACTTTGTGAAAAGGCTGCAAATTGGTCTGTAAAAGGCAAGAAGAAGAAATGGCTGCATTTTGAGAATAATTTTTTAGGCCAACTTTAGTAATGAAGTTCCATCTATTGGATAACATGAAAGGTAAAAAAAGGAGAAATGCGCAAAAATATTGACCTTGTGTGAGACAAAGTTGGCCCTCAGTAGTGTCTTCCCTTTTATGCAGTTTTTTTTTTCTCTGTTCTGAACTTTAGGTTTAAGAAGTTACGTTGTATGAGAAAATCTCTCTTGATTAGGCTCATTGCCGAGTTCTAATAGTACCTCTTTTGCTATTTGGAACTTTCCGTATGAAAAAATTTATATAATCTTACAGGGTAAGTCTTATAATAGAACTTTGATATATGTTTTCACAATCAAATGCAGGTTCAAGCAATTTACTAATTCGATGGGAAGTTTGCAAATACCAATAAAACAAAAACATTTTTTAAATTTTTATTTTGAAGGTACGTAATTGCATGTTTTACTCGTAACAGAATGCAGTCATTAAAATATTATTATTGTTTTTTCGAAATTTTCTTTAAAAAAAAAGGATTTGAATATGCATTTGAAAGGACCACCCAAACTTTAATTTTGTAAGTAGTCAAAGTTGATTACAATAACTGTTAAATTGTAGCTCATAGGGTATGCATGAGTTGAATGAATAATTTTGTTTTGTGCTTCAATAACATTTAATTTGGATGTTAGTAACAGGGGTGTTCATCAACTGATCCAAACTGCAATGACAGAATCAAAAAAATTAAAAATCGAATAAAATTACAAAATTTAATTGGATTGGATCGGTTTTCTTTTTGGTTGGTGAAAATCGATTCAATATATTAATCTCATTTATTTACTTGGGTCTATTCCTCAATCATAGTCTAAAAAAATCTAAATTCAAGACTCATTAACCCATAAATAAACCAAGAAAATTTATTGGTATATTCTACAATAAAGGAAACTCTTCGAGTGTGACACAGAGGTTGGCTCTGTCCACCGAGAAGAAAGGAAAACTCTCAATTTGTCCATTAGTACCGACAGCAATGATGATGTCTAGAAGTACAAGGACACTTGTGTGATTGTAATCTAAAAAGTGTGCAATAATTCAGCTTTTAGAGTGTACAAGTACACTTGGTATCAGAGCCAACCTCTGTGTTATCCCCGATGACAGGCTCCTTGCCCGATGGTGGCAGCTTAAAGGAAACTCTTCGAGTTTCTTCTAGAGAGAGGGTAAAGATAGTAATGATATTATACGAGGTGAGTAGGAGAGGAACTTCCCAAACCATGGATAACACAAACACTGAAAATTCCCAGCCTATTATGCTACAATCTTCCCTGTCCCTTCCTAAACACATTCCCTCAAAAATCTCCTCAAAAATAGAAAACCTGATAGAGTACTCTTATGTCCCTGAAGATGCAAAAATCCTTGAAACAGTACCACCGCTGCTCAGTCCTTACAACATCTTTAAAAGACAGAAATCTGTGCTTAAAAGTATCACTAAGTTGATCTTTTCCAAGAGACCAACGATGAAGGAATACGTCCAGTCTTCCAGAATGGATCAGTGTGAGCTACAAGCCACTTCTCAGGAGCAGTATGTAGATATGGAGATTCCTACGGAGTTAATCACTCACTGGAGACAAGAAGGCTATACTACACTTCACTTTGGTGCAATAAGACTAATCCTTTCACTTCATGGAAGGAAAGGTCTGCCAGTTACAGCTCATGATGCTATGCTAGATTCTAGCTTCATTAATTATGAAAATGCTGTGATTGGAACTGTGCTGACAACTCTTCATGCGGGAAGTGTGGTCTTAGCCATCTTTCCAAATTATAATGTGAGCTTGAAAGATAGAACCTTGCCAAAAAGGTTGAAGGTGCAAATACAACTTACAGGAGCTGACCAAGTTTCTGAGGCTTATGCAGCAACTTTTCATCATCAGATGATCTATAGACTTCAAGATCATGCTGTTATCTTCCCCAGCTGCCTAATAGCCACCATAATGCTCTGTTTATCATAGCCAAAAATCCAGAAGATACTTCTTCTATCATTCAGATTCCGAGAAAGATATCTTGGGAAGAGTTGACAGAACTGATTCCTTTAGAATGACTGACTAATTATGAAAAGATTCATAAAGCCAGCAAGCCCATCCAGTCTCACGAGGCGACTTTCAGAAGATCTGTAGATGGAACCGTCAGAACAATCTTCAAAAAGCCTGATGCAGTAGCCCGCAGTTCTACACTTCCTATTTTCCAATCTATGATGATATCTCCATGTTATAAGGAGGATTGGATCCCTGTTCATGGGATAATGCCAGATGGATCTCCCATTTATACTGATCGTATTGATGGTCATTTCATATGGGATGTAGATCCTAATATGTGTGATCCTGAGTGTGATCGTTGGATGCACACAGGAGACACTTCAGATGAAGAAGAAGAAGATACAAGGAGTCGCAGGCGGCGTTGTAAACCACCTCCTCCTGTTCAAAGAAGATCTGACCCAGACAATGGTCCTTGGGTAGGTATTAAGACACAGAAAAAATCTGAGCCTCTTTAGATCTATAAAAGACGTTTAGAAATCCTGAGAGAAGAAGGATTACTTCCACCTGAACCACCAAATGACCCTAACCTTATAACCTGGTCCCCAAAACACCAGCCTGAACCCATACCTTGTATGATGTTTTCACCACATGATTTTCCTCCTTTAGAGAGACATACTGACCCAACCACAAAGATCACCACCAAGCCTGTGATCCATCAAGGAGAAGTCCAGTCAGATGGAAAGTTGAAGCCCTTAAGTCAAGCTGAAGAAGTTCTCAATTGGCAGACTGAAAATGCTAAAGCCCAGAATTCTATTCTGAAAAGACTCGACACTAAGGTTGAAAAGATTTGTAATCAGATGGATATAGTCGAGGATCATCTGCAATATCTCTCAAAGAAGATGAGAAAGCATTATGAGAAGAACATGCAGCAGATAGCCCAGCTTGAAGAAGAGATCAAAAAGCTAGGCTTTACTCCATAAGCTAACATGAGAGATAGGGAGGTAAGAAGACTGAAAGCAGAAATTCAAGATCTGGACAGAATCATTGAACAAAATATCAGATCCCAGCAAAAGCCTGAACCAACAGAAAGCTACAATCCATTTTTGCCACCTCCTATGCCAAATTATTATTCTCCTTTCAAAAACCATCAGAGTTCTGGACCAACCCTCATCCTCCAAAACCTTGGACTTTTCCAACCAGTCAACCTTATGACCAAAAGCCTAGAAGAGAAAGAGAAAGTAGAGAAAGAGGAAAACAACCTTCTACTTCTAGAAAACATTCATCTAGAACTAGAATGGAAACAACTCCTTCCTTGTCCTCTGACTCTACAGACCGTATGAATAATCCCAGTTCTTCAAAAAGTACTTTTGAGACTGTAGATCTCCAAGACCAATTTGCCATCATCCAGACAGTACCCCAAGACATAGATGAATCTCAATCCTCTAAAACAACAGAAACCTCCTCATCCTCTTCAGATACTCAGAGTTCTGATTCCAAAGAAGCCTTTGAACCAGACTATCAAACACCTGAAACCACACCTGAAATCACACCTGAAACCACACCTGATAGTACACCTGAAATCACATTTGAAACTTCTGAAGAAGAGCAATCTGATGAGATAGATTCTTCTGATCTTTCAGAAGAAAATTATGCTAATATTACTAGCATACTAATGGCCAGAACTGCAGAATCCAGAGTTGAGTCGTACTATGATTCCCCTGAATCTGAAACAGGTGAGTCTACTAGCAGAAATCAAACTAAGAAAACTGCAGCAGGACCGTGGTTTACACTTGATGATATTTCTCCAAACCTATAGAGAAAAAGACTCTTAGAATTTGGAGCATGGATTGATACTAAGCTCTTAGCTGCTGATGCTGACCCTTACAAAGTAATGGAAGAGTTTTGCTCCAGAATGATTGGTTCTCTCAAGGAATGGCATCATAACTTGGGAGGTGTCAGACAAGATCAACTTCACCAAGTAGGTACTTCCTCTGGTATGCTCGGAGTCCTCCACCAGGAATTCATTGGAGATGGAGACATTATTGACAAGAAAAACAGACAAGAATTTTTTGAGATGAAATGCTGCTCTCTAAAGATAAAAGATCTTGAAAGGCATTTTAAAAGAATGATGCAGAAGTTCTATTTGTTGAATGGATATAATGATCCAAGCCTCAAAAACACTTGTGTGGCTTCTCTTCCTAAAGAGATTCAACCAGAGTTAAACAAAATGGCAATTGCTCAAGGCAAAGATTTCACGGCCCTTACTATGGGTCAGATTCACCAGCTGACTCTTGAAGCGGTTGACAAGCTCTGCAAGCAACATAAGTATATGACTGACCTGATGAATCAAAGGTCAAAATATACTCAAGCCTGTAAGAAGTCTTATCTGGAGATAAAATGCAAAGACAACAACTGTGATTGCAAAACAAAGAAAAAGACTCATTTCAAGAAGTACAACCAGAAGCAGAAAGGCAAAAAAGGCTAGAAGCAGAAACAATACAGGTTCTTCAAGAAGAAGAAGTTTCGTGGGAAGAACAAAGGCCAGAAATGTTTTATTTGCAAAAAGAAAGGTCATTTCGCAAATAATTGTCCTAACAAGTCAGATAAAGCAGTAAAAATGATAACTGCTTTAAATCTGGACGAAGGAGATGCAGAATCTTTGTACTCAGAACAAAGTACTGGAGATGAAGACACTGTTTTTGCATTACAGGATTCTTCCTCTGAGTCAGAAACTTCTGATAGTGATGTTCCAGTTTTTGCTATAAATGAAGTGTTCTATTTAAGTCCAAAAACCCCTAAGCCCAGTGTAGAGGTTCACATTTTGTCATCCAAATTCAGTCATCCTAAAAAGGTGATTGCATACATGGATACTGGTGCTGCTAGATCGATGATGGATCCCAAGATTTTACCTCCTGAAGCATGGAAAAATGAGACAGCTTATTTTGTATCAGCTGATGGGAAAGTATTCAGAACAAACTTGATCACTAAACAACCTATAGGGATAAGATTTTTCACTGAATGTGTTGTCTGGACACATGTTATTGGAACTCCTCTGCCTGATAAAGACATTTTGATAGGAATGGATGTCTATACCAAGGCCAAAAAACTTCAAATTCTTCCTCAGAAGTAAGATTCAAAAGAGACTTCAAGCCCTATTCAGAAACCTCGAGATTATATGCTCTTTCTGAAACTCCTCCTGAACTTGAAGATATCAAAGGAAAACTTCAGCCTCTGTGTACAGAAAATCATGGAGAATTCTCTCATCCAAATCCTCTGTGGAAGAATGAGGAATCTTTTGTACAGCTTCCATTCAAGCTCAATGAAGATGTCAATCCAACCAAAGCTACTCATCCAGGAATGTCTCCCTCAGATTTGCAATTGGCAAGACAAGAATGCCAAGAACTCTTGAAGCAAGGATTGATAGAACCTACTAAATCTCCATGGGCATGTCAAGCCTTTTACGTGGAGAAAAGATCAGAGAAGATCCGAGGCAAGAAAAGATGGGTGATTGGTTATAAGCCTCTAAATCATTTCTTGCAGGATGATAAGTTTCTTATCCCAAAGGTTGATACTCTTCCTATAATTTTTAAAGATGCTCATATCTTTTCCAAGTTTGATATGAAATCAGGTTTCTGGCAACTTGGATTAGACTCTGCTGACAGGTACAAGACTGCTTTTTGCATCCCTAATGCGCAGTACCAATGGACAGTGCTTCCATTTGGTCTCAAAGTGGCTCCTTCCCTTTTTCAGAAAGCAATGACTAGAATCGTTGCTCCACTTTTAGATACAATTCTTATCTATATTGATGATGTTCTTCTTTTTTCTAAAAATATGGAAGAACACAGGAAATTGCTCAACCAGTTTGCAGAACTAGCTAATCAATATGGGCTTATGCTTTCTGAGAAAAAGATTTATATTGCCCAGACTGAAGTTGATTTTCTGGGAATGCATTTCTCAAAAGGAATGTATCAACCACAGCCACACATTGCGGAAGGAATTGCAGAATATCCTGATGAAAATCTCACAGTGAAACAACTTCAACAGTTCTTAGGAATGGTTAATTATGTTAGAGATTTTATTCCTTAGGCAGCTAAGTACACCAGTGTATTGTCAAAGCTTTTAAAAAAAATCCTCCTCCTTGGAGTTCAGAGCAGACTCAAGCAGTCAGAGAACTGAAGAAGATTGCGCAGAATCCACCAGCCTTGAAGATTCCCAGTACTGGTAAAAGAATTCTTCAGACAGATGCCAGTGATCATTTCTGGGGAGCTGTTCTCATTGAAGAAGTTGACAACAAGAAATACTATTGTGGACATGCAAGTGGTCAATTTACAGATGCAGAGCTACATTATCATACCACTTACAAAGAAGCCCTGGCAGTCAAAAATGGAATCAAGAAATTTGATTTCCATCTTCGTGGTTATAATTTTGAAGTCCAGATGATAATTCCTCTTTTCCAAAAATCCTGGAATTCAAAAACAAAATGCCACCAGACCCTCAGATACTCAGATTGAAAGATTGGTTTTCCAGATATAATTTTACTGTTAAACATATCAAAGGAAGTCACAATGTCATCCCTGACCTCTTATCCAGACCTTCCAAACCTACCAAACCTAAAGCCCCTGTTCAAGTCATTTCCAGCATAGCCAGTGTTCCTTTTCCTCTGATATTCATGAATGAACCATTACCCATAGCGGCAAAACAAAAAAGAGTCTATCTTCCATAATTAGGTCAACCTACCTCAGTCTACCAGATCCAAAAGTTTGCTAAAGACTTTTATTTTTATTACACCCATGAAACCATGAGAACTAAAGAAGTCATCCCTTCAGTCATTAACCCAGAAATTCCTTTCTTACACATTTTACAAGTTTTTTGTGATATAGGTTATGACATTACGGAAAACACACTTTGGAGCATATGGTGTCTCACAGTCAATCATTCAGTTCCTCTTGCTCTCAAGATTCAAAGAACTTATGAAATTCTTATGACTCCTGATGCAGCAGATGCCTTCTTATGGACCTTGTTGGAATGGTATTCTCCTATACCATGGTGGAGAAAAGAACTGTACAAGATCATCCTATCCAAAGAACAAGAAGGAAAAATAGAAGAAGAGATTTCAAAGATCACTGCCATTTTCATCATTCATAGACCTTACTGGAAAAGGCCCGATGGAATCATTTGGTCTCAGAATATTGCTTATCTCTGGGGATATTTCAATGACTATCCATTAGATCCCTGTTCAAAGACAATTCTACTAAAACATATCCAAGAACTCAACGGGTATGTAGAACCAGAAGACCAACCCAGTTCTTCACATGGCCCAGGCCCAAGTTCCTCACAAGCCCAAGATCCAATGCAAATTGATTTGATCTTTGATCCAATAGATGATGATGCAAATGCTGATGTCATGGAAGAGATAATTGAAGAAAAGGCCAAAACAGACAAACCTTGGTGGGAAAAGATGTATGGCGTTGTTGTGCTTTCAACCTTTGAAAAAGTTATTACAAAAGTTTGAATTTTTTGTTACATAAATATAGCATTTGAATTAAGTTAAGGATTTATTTTTATTTAATTTTATAATTTTCACGTGAATGTGATACTACTATAAAACTTAGGGTTCGCTTTTTCTGCAGTTACTGCAGATAAGTTATCTGTAGTAAGTTCGATACGACGTCGTTTTGGGACGGAAATCATGGTTTTTTTGTAATTTTAATTTATTTCAGGGTTATAATAGTCTTTATATTTATAATTTTTTAAGATTTCAATATCAAAACAACGTCGTTTTGGGAACAAATGCAGATAACTTATCTGCATTAACTGTTGAAACATTTTTCCCCAAAACTTATGTGCTATAATTTGAAATAAAAAACTGTTTTAAGATCTTTCTGTATTAATAATTGAGATTAATTTTTCTTACTTTGTTATTGTCTAATTTTCTTTTTTGTGCAATAGGTGATAGATACTTACTTTATCCATTTATGACTTTGCCAATATATGCAAAAGATATGTTATTTGCACAATAATTATCATAAAATTTTAGATTGAGATTAATTTTTCTTACTTTGTTATTGTCTAATTTTCTTTTTTGTGCAATAGGTGATAGATACTTACTTTACCCATTTCTGACTTTGCCAATATATGCAAAAGATGAGAGAGATTATACTTACTACATATTTTTCTTACTACTTCTTACTACTAAATCTTAACCGTTGATTTCTGTCAATCTAATGGTTATAATTTATTGGAAATTAATAATTAATTAATAAGTGAGATTCAATAAATTATAACCATTAGATTGACGGAAATCAATGGTTAAGATTTGGTAGTAAGAAGTAGTAAGAAAAATAGGTAGTAAGTATAACCTTTCCCGCAAAAGATATGTTATTTGCACAATAATTATCATACAAATTTTAGACTTTTCAAAAAAATAACAGAGTAAATACCCTTTTTGGTCCTGAACAAGTTTCACGATGCCCGCTTTAGTTCCTAGCAAATAAAAATGCCCATCGTGGTCCCTAAGAAATTTAAAATGGATCTATTTAGTTGAAATCGTGGTCCCTCACAAATTCAAAAAAGACCCATATTAGTCTCTAAAAGGACTAAAATGGGTCTATTGTGAATTTCTTAGAGACTACTATAGGCTTTTATATTTGTTAAGAACTAAAGCAGGTATCGTAAGCCCAAAAAGAATATAAAAATCTATTCAATCCAAATCGAATATTACGGGAAACAGCCATAAGTATTAAAAAAACTCCGACCTGCCGGATTCGAACCAGCGACCTAAGGATATCTGATGTTTAACCACTACAGTCCTCCGCTCTACCAACTGAGCTAAGGTCGGCTTGTGCAAACTCTGGCAGCATCTAATTGTTATTTGAATCAACAGGCTGTACTAATAAATGATTTGACATCAGTAAGGCCCAAGTTTTTTTAGGGAGTGATTAGCAAGGCCCAGATTTTGATGCAGAAAGCCGATATGATCATACAAGTCAAGGTCCATTATTGAGAAATTATTAAAAATCATCTTAAAGCATTACTTAAAATTTCATTTTATTTACCAACAAAATTCCGCATAGGTGGTAAATAGTTGGGTTCTTTAAATATATTGAAAGGAGTTTGATTTCTTGTCGTGTGTATGAATTTTTTTTTATTGATAGAGATAAAATCCACTTCAATAAAATATATATCTCAAGAAAGATTAATTTTCGGCTCTCGATTTTCGAGAGTATGCTTTCAATTTACTGGAAGAAAAAAAAAATGATTTCGTTCTTACATTCCAATAATGGGATGAGAAACTCTCCATCTTTTATAAAAAGGGTGCTTAACCAATGGAAGTAGTAATATGAACCTGACATATTAGTTCTCCAAATTGATGTAACCAAATGGTTTCGATTTTTCATAGTCGAAGAAAAATGTAAAAATCAAGTTGGATAAGCTTGGGAATGATTCTGACCTTATATAATTTTTATGGCCCGTTATATGACTGTCTTCATCTTCACTTTTCTCTCTCATTTGAAGTTTCGTTCCTTTGAGCTTTGTCAACCCCTTCGTCTCATCTCTATCACATCCAACTTTGTCTTAACCCAATACCCCACAAAGCTCCATTTCATGGATATCATTTTTGTTCGTGTGCATGATTAGATATTCAGTCCAAATGCAAGTTATAGTCATCCCTAAAACTAACCAATTGAGCTATTATTCATAATGTAAAACTATTTTAAGCCATCTTGTTTTATATTTTGAATCATATTTATATCTTTACCAACCTTTATTTTGACCAACATCTAGTATCTATTATTGTCAATCTAATCATATTCTATCAATCTTTCAAAATTGCAATAAAAAATGTGACCAAAACTGCTTTGTGCTAGTTATTATTAGATGTAATCATGAACCTATATCCTTACCTATCAAATTCTTATAAATGTTAATGGCTTATTATAATCAAAGTTGCTATCTTTTAGACTTTCCCCTCCAAGCACGCCACCAAAGTTTTTTTTTTCTAATAAAAAAAAAAAACCTATGATATAATCAATCGATCTGCCCAAAAGGAAGGAGTCTGAAATTCATTATGGATTGTACGTAGTTAATGATTGATGGTGTAATATGAATTCATGTGGTTCTTGTTGGAAATATTGAGAACCAATATATATATATATATTCTTTAATATTAAAGTTTCTAAAATTACTTTAGATAATATTATTTAATATTCACCAAAATACATAAATAAAAATGTCTCGGGTCTATATATTTTTTTCTTTTCTTCGTGGAGAGGGAAAATTTTCTCAGATAATTCAATAAGAAAATAGAGAATTCTAAAGGCATAGTAAAAATCGTCGAAAGCAGGATTCGAACCTGCGCAGCCCAACAGATTTTGAGTCAGTCTCCTTATCGACTCAGACATATCGACCCAAGCTCAATTTAGATTAGAATCAAGGAATTATAAATGAAATTTGTCACTGAGGTGCTGGGTGATCTATAGTGGGTTAATGACTTGGATTGGTCCCGGAAGCACGTGCCAAGAAAAAGGGTCTACATGGTAAGTTTGGTCAATTACTTGACACGAGATAGAGAGAGAAAGAAAGAGAGGGGTGGATGCTTGAAGTCCACTAACATATTTTAGTGCTCGGATATAGATATATACTTGCTTCTATGCAAAAATGGAATAAGAGAAGGGTCAAGCTACATATAAATCTTGAGTTCTAAGCTTTTTATTATTTTATTATTTGTTTATGTGACTTAGTCAGAATTATTCACAAACTATATGGTTATTTAAGACACTAGCATATTTTAGCGGGAATGTCAGAAGGAGGATTAGTTGTTGTTGTTATATATTATGCTATATACGCAAACAAACTATTTTCCTTTTACTTTTCATGCTCGTGTTGTGTTGTGTGCTTTCTCTCTCTGACATTTTATATGTCACTTCTCTGTCTTTACATGTCTTGTTGCTACTCATAAACTTCGAACTTTGTTTTTGTTGTATACTGCCGAGAGAACCACATTGCTTCTGTACCATTTGACTACCACCGCATTTGCAGGAACTGTGTCTGTGTTTTGTGTCCACTTTTGGTTTGTGTTAATATCAGAATATGATCTTTTGTATCTGTGTCATTCTCTCCTCTTCTTCCTTGCCCAGTTTGGCCTTCTCATGACTCTCCCTTATTTGGATTCTCTTTTGTGTAAGTTTTAAAGAGTCAGTTTAAAGATTCTTGATCTGTGGTGTGTTTCAGTTTTCGTTTTTTTTGTTTTTAAGTTATGGAATCTTATTGCAATCTTGAAGTGGATGTAAATGGAGAAGAGACCTTCATAGTGGACAAGGTAACCAACCCTCTTTGAAAATCTTGTAATTTGTTTCAAAACTTTGTTGAAAATGTTTTGACTTTTTTTTCTTCTATGATTTGCTCTCCTTCTTCTGCCTTTTGTTTTTTCTTTTTCCTTTTCCATTGCGTTTGTTTATAGGATCTGTACTACATCACAAGGTTCTTCTTTTTTCATTCTTTTGGTTAATGGTTTCAGTTCGTGCTAAATGTTGCTACTCTTGAATTTAGAAATGATTATGGTTCAATGATTTACACTTTTGTAATTTTTTTTTTTTAATTTCTCTTTTTCTCTCTTTCTAGCTACCTTCAGTAACTTTATGATTGTAGCTTTCCGCCCATCATTAATTTGCACCTACACAGCATTGAGGTGGGGCAAATGGTGTTTGCCCATCCTGGCAATAATTTCCATAGCCATTCTCACAAACCACAAGCACGACACACGTTTTTTTCATCTTTTCTTTTAGTTTTTTTACTTTAATGTTTCACGTCACATTAAATGCTGCTGCTAGGGTCTTCTGGGGTTTCAATGTTCTTACCTTCATTTTGATTGTTTTATTCACATCTTTAAAGAGGGACCCAAAGTTGCTTTATCCCATTTATTTCTTTTCTATACTCTTCCCTCTTAGATGATTAGTAGATAGAGATCCTTCCTGCTCACCCTCATTTTCAATTTATTGTCTATAACGACTTCTCTGTCTCCACTTCATTCTTTTGGCTTAGGAGCTTTTATTACTGTGGAATTTTCCTTTCATTCTCTCCATTTTCCCATTTATTTTTTACCCACCTCCTTTTCTTGTCTATGTGCTTCTCCAGTGATTTCATGTTTTTGGTGGGTTTTTTTGGTATTTAGATAGCTTTTTCCACAATAAAAAATTGCCCTTTACTAGTTTGCTGGAACTTGCTGCATATCTAATTGTTCTTAGAGAATAGGACATTGTTTCTTTTATGATTATCTAACTTTATTTTAAATGGGTAATTTTGCAGGCTGTTATTGCTCAGTACTCGGGCAAATTTGCTAAGTTATTTGGAAAATCCAGTGGTGGCACCAGAAACCTTAAAGTAATATTCCATGATTTTCCAGGAGGTGCAGAAGGTTTTGAGCTTATATTAAGATTCTGTTATAACAGTGGAAAAGCTTATATAAGTCCCTCCAATTTGTTACTCGCACGTTGTGCTGCTGAATACATGGAAATGAAGGAATCTGTGGTTGATGTTTCTAACTTATTTGAGCAAACAGAAAAATCACTCCAAGAGATCAGCTATTGGACTTGGTCAGATCTTTTGATTGTTTTGAAGCAATGCCAGAATTTATCATTAGTTGCAGATTCTTCAGTGATGCTTGAGAGATGTTTGGATTCTGTAGTGGGAAGAGTGGTTTTGGCCAGTGAAGCAAGTCCATGTCCATCAACTTGTTCCACTGACAGTTCTGGTATTCGGTTTTCATGTGACTCTAAAAGCACTGAGAGTATGAAGACAAATTTCTCTCGTTCAACATGGTGGTTTGAAGATCTCCTATTTTTGAACCCCTTGTTTGTTGAAATGTTGGTAAAGTCAATGCTTTCACGTAAGTTGGACCATGTTGTTATAAGCAGGTTTCTTCTCTATTATCAAAAGGCAAAATTTTCCACTGCTGCTACATATGAGAAGAGCAAGATCATTGAAATGGTTATAGATATGCATTATAATATGGATCACAGCACTGTTTCTTGCAAGACTTTATTTGGGATTCTTCGGGTTACTGTGTGTTTGAACATAAGCAAATGTAGCAGGAATAAGTTGGAGAATATGATTGGTTCCCAATTGGATCAAGCAACCTTGGACAATTTGCTTGTTCCATCTCCATATGGAATAAGCTATTTATATGACGTGAGCCTTGTTCTGAGATTTTTGAAAGCATTCCTGCGTGGAGGAACTGGTCTAGTCACTCCCATTCGGATGAGGAAAGTTGCTAGCTTAATAGATTTGTATATAGCAGAAATAGCCCCTGATCCTTGTTTAAAAACTTCAAAGTTCTTGGCTCTTGCCACAGCATTTCCAGATTCCGCAAGAGATTCTTATGATGAGCTCTACCATGCAGTGGACATGTATCTAGAGGTATGATAATTCTTTTCAAGTTAATATTTTAAACTTGGAAGTTTTTTTAACTTTGGTCATATGGTTAACTACTTGATTTATAAAGCGACTTAAATCTTCATGTTCTATTCATTGGAAATGCTAATATGATATGACAAATATGTGAAAGGTAGTCTCAAAATTTAGTGTAAACCTCTATAATAAAAAAAAATCAAGGCCTACTTAAACTTGGTGTAGTTGAACAGACAATGTTGTGTTATAGGTACATGCTCAATTGTCACAAGAAGAAAGGGTGAAGATATGCTGTGGTTTAAATTATGATAAGCTTTCACCTCAAGCTTGCCTACACCTTTCTCAGAATTCAAAATTTCCTTCAAAATCTGCGGTTCATGCTCTCATCTCTCAGCAATCTAAGCTCAAAGATTTACTCCATGATACTCCCAATTGTGGTTTAAGTGGTGTTGCTCAAAGGGGAAAGAAAGACAAAACCAGTGAACAGGATGTGTTGTATGCTAGCAATTTTGATCTTTCAGCTGATAATGAGAAACTCAGAGCACATTTGCAAGGAATGCAGTGTAGGGTTATGGAATTAGAGAAATTCTGTAGGAAAATGCAAACCCAGATGACAAAGATCACAAAATCAAAAGCATCAGGCCATAGTTACACAAGATCTTTGCCCAAGCTTTGCTCATGACCATTTTTTATTTTTTATTTTGGATTTTATTTATTTTCCAATTTGTAATTTTCATATATGTACAGCACAGGAAGGAGTTTTGTGTGTGTTGTTGTAGTTTTTCCACTATTCTGCTTAACTTGGAGGTTCATTGGGTAAGAACAATGATACTGATTGTACAGTCATGAAATAATGGAAAAGATTGCAAAGAATTTCAGATAGGCATGTGTTAATTCTCAGTAGTTCACCAACTCCTATTTCCATTGTTTAGAGAGTATATGGACATTTAACTTCAACAGGAATTAATATCTGTCTATCTTCAATTTAGAAACATGATATTTGAATGTGGTACTATTCAGTCTATTTTGCTTTGTTGTGAATCAAACGCTACTTGCAAGTAAAAATATTGCATGCTAGATGGTCAAGTTTCAACTAATAAAATTATGGTTTGTTAGCTTACCATTAGATGAAGACAAGGTGGTAGTTGACACTTGACATGCCATAGATACAAAGTATAAAAGGGATGACAAGAGCGGGCCACGTTGTCACTGTATTCACCAGCCACCACTACGCCAGATCCCGATACACAACGCTTTTCGACTTGTGAAAGTAGGAATAATAGTTGATTGTATTTATCGGAAATAACTCATAATTCGCATTCACATAATAGTCTCTTATTGATAGGACACATAGAAAACAAATGGCCGTAGTATTAATGTGAACCTTTGGATTTTTATTTTTTTTAAAGAGATATAAAATAATTAATTTAGCCTCATCCAATGTCTTAAGATTTTGAGTTGAAATGGTTCTTTACATGGTATTCAGTAGCCACGAAGTCACGAGTTCGATCTTCACCGCTCCTACTTTCAGGTGGAATTAAGAAAAGCACAAAAAAATAAGCTTCTGCAACACAAGGCAGACAATAGGCTCGTGCCATATCTACGCTTCAAGTCCAAAGAGCTCTTACATGAGGAGGTGTATTAGAGAGATATAAAATAATTAATTTAGCCTCACCTAATGCCTTAAGATTTTGAGTTGAAATAGTTCTTTAGATTTGTTTTTACAAGTTTGAATTTAGATCCATAAATAGCTATGTTGTTTAGAGTTTCTAAACTTATTTATATTACTCTTATAAAATAGTGTGTTTTGTGTAACCGAGTGAGGTGAGAATAGAATAGTGAAATATTGTTCGACATAGCCTAAAACCAAGGTAAATCTGTGTCTATACTCTTTCTTTTTCTGTTTTGGGATTTATGTATGTGATTGTTGGTCCAAATAATACGTAACCTTACCCTTATTTTACTTTTTTGTGCAAAGAAGACATTCGATAACAAAAAAATATATATACTCTGAATGCTTTTTAGGATATGATATATTCTTGTGTAGAACTAGTATTTTAGGATGAATAATTCCTTCAAGTTGACTCAGATTCCAAACCAATCACGATGAGGATTAGTTGTAAGCAGTGCATGAAGGTCCCATGCGTTGCAAATTAGTAATAATGCCATTGATAGCGCAGCAGAGGAGGTGGAACTGGTCCCTATTGTTTCTTCTGCTCCAATATCAAGCTTGCCTTTATTAGGTGTAGCAAAATGTCCCACATTAACAAGACCAAAGTACATTAGCAGCGTTACAAACTAAACCTACTACACCCATACTAAAACCAATTGTTATAGCTTTATCATGTAATGCAGTTTATAATTTGAAATTCTGATGTAAACATAGTCATGCTTTTTCCTAAGCGACTTAAATCTTCATCTAACCCCTAACTCTTGAAAACATAAGCATTAATAATTTGTGTTTCGTTTGAGTATGTACCAACATGTGCATTAGGCAGCAGGAGTCAATTTGGTCTAATATGGAAAATTTTCTCAACTAATAATATTATAGGTACCCTGTTTGTGATAGATTATAATTATGTATTTCTATATTATAATTATGTATTTCGCGAAGTATATAGTTATAATATAAAAATTGTTTTTTTTCATTCTTTATATCAGCTGACAACTTTTGAAGAGAGAAAAAAAAAAAACTTTAATATTATAACTATATACTCCCTGAAATATATAGTTATAATCGGTAGCTGAAAAAAAAAATTACAACAACCTAAGAAAAAGATTTCCCATAATTATAAATATATAATAATGTCCTTTCATCTAAAGAATATTCGTACAGCAAGGGCGTGGTGGTGTTAAAGATAGCACATGTTTTTGTGGGGCTAACCGTAGAAGCCACTGGAATCCCATTTAATACACTGTACCTGTGGTAAATGTTTTTTGCCCTTCCTATAGTTAATTTTGCTTAAAGGAGGGACTAAAGCTGATATGCTCTGTGATAAAGGAACAAAAGTAAACAACCCTCCTCTTAGATTAGAGGCATATTACTGGCCATAAGTGTTGATGGGTCAATTCCACCCCCATATTCAAAGGATATGGCACTGCCCTTTTCTTTTGCATTGAATCCATGTATAACCTCCAGAGAGATATCCAATTTTGTGTAATGGTCATTAATTTCCAACATATTGGGTGCATGATGAACCTAAAAAGGGTGAAATATTACTAGCTATAAAATTACCATAAAGGCACATTAATTTTTCTTTCTTTCCTTTTCCTTTTCTGTTTGTGTGATGGGATGCAATAACATCTCTAGTGATGAACCTCAATTAAAATAATCTGTGTGCTGGCTATGATAACAACTGAACCCATGTAAAACCGCGTGTTAGGTAAACACCATGAATTCCACCTATTGGGGAAGTACCCTACTTTCAAAATATAATCAGATGTCATAATCAATATTCTCTTATAAATAATGTAAATAATAAAGCTTCTAAATATTAATATAAAAATTCCCTACAACAAGTTTATAACTTTTTAGCCAATTTTATAATTATCGGATATAATATATGGGCGAACATTGATGCAATAATAAAGCCGTTCATTTGTGACTCTAAGTGAAGGGTTCGAATTTAGAAAATATTATAAAAAAATACACCTTTGCAAAAAAAATATAAGCTTACGGACAGTCCACTTTCATTTTATCTTGACAAAATCTAAGAGCCATGCGCACCGCGATTTGACTTTTTTTATAATCTAACGGTAACGGATATCTTAGCAAGGAAAATGGAGGGGTACGGCCACCATTTTTTAGAAGGTCTTTTAGTGTAAATAGAGGGGTAAAATTAGAAAACAAAAAAATAGTAGCGGTAAAAGGAGAAAGAAAAAATTGATGATGTGAGAAGGAGCACCAGATCATTGGGTAGTCTTGGACTATAATAAATATTTCCCTTAGCAAGGGTTTTCCTAGTACATGTTGCACTTTGGAAAAGTTTTGTACAAGGAATTTTTTGGATTTTCGGAGAAGTGAGAATCTTATTTATTTATATTTGATATAAAAATTGTGAAAAAAATTATTTTTTCCATAATTTTGATTTGTAAACACTTTTTAAGGCAAAATATCATTTAAGAATACTACCACTGACATGATATTCTTGGATTCCCGTGAACTGAAAAAACATTTTGGTCTCTGCGCCACTAGCGTCAAACAATATTTTCTTTTTGTACCACTAGCGCTGTGATGGTGCCACTAGCACGAAGTCTTCAAGTAATATTTTCCTTCCACGCCAATAGCGTGGTGATGGAGCCACTAGCGCCACCAGTGCAGTTTTTAAAATCATCCTATATTTCTAATAATATTTGATAATTAACTAAATATTAAATAAGAAAATTTGAGCCAACATTCATAATAATATTTTGATTTAACAAACAACTTTTTGATCAGATTTCCAGTAATACTTGACGATCAATAAGAAATTTGAGCCAACATTCTTGATAATATTTTAGTTTATCAAACAACTTTTTGGTCACGTTTAAAAAAATTCAATTTCCTAACATATTTTGGTAATCATAATTCCCAAGCATAAAAATATTTCTCATCTAACGCCTCTTAAAGGGAAATGCAAACTGTTTCATTTTATGGGCATCTTGTCTCCTTGGCCTTATTATAAAGAGTAAACATCTTTTTTGGTCTCTGGCAATATCTACGAAATTATTTTTAGTCCCTGACAATAAAAAAGGACCAAATTGATCCCTAAAATTATGAAAAAAGAGCCACGTTAGTGACAGAGGAGTTGATAGAAGGACTAATGTGACCCTTTTTTCATAATTTTAGAGACCAATTTGATCCTTTTTTATTGCCAGGAACTAAAAAGGATTTCGCAAATATTGTCAGGAACCAAAAAAAGATGTTTACTCTATTATAAATCTATAACGAAGAGGATGGTGTAGCTAGCTAGCTAGCGTAACATTCAGGTTTGTTTCCTTAGGTAGTGTCATTGTGTCAGCGTCCTAAAAGTCATGTATATGTGCCGTGACGATGAAGACATGCATTGATTAAGAAAACCAAGTTGGTAATTGAGCATTTCATATTTGCATGTGTCGTGAGAATATAGTATCGTAAGCATAAAAGTCGGTAATGTGGCGCCAATAAGCCTTATCGAAGAAATTAAGCTCGTAGCTTGTGTAACGTTTTCCTTAGACGCTACTCTTCTCCCTCTTTCGAGGTCTCAGCAATTTCGTTGAAAATAAAATAAAATAAAATATCCCTAAATAATTGGTAATCTCACAATGCTTATATGGTAATACTTTGGCTTGGGATTCAACATGGAAGGTTATTGACAATAAGGTCTCACATGAACCCAGTCATACTCGTCAATAAGCGCGCACATCCAGAACCCTTAAAAATCAGGCTAAATTTAATGTATGGACTATATGGTATTTTAGTTATAAGTTTGTTTAATCATCAACAACGGTTATTATTATTATTATTATTATTATTAGTAGGGAAAAATGTTTGTCATTTTAAATAACATAAAGTTATGTCATTTTAAGAGAGAGATAGACACAAAATAATATTTTTTATTTAAAATTTAAATAAAAAATCGCACACTTTCTCTCCATGATTTTCATTTTGTGTAAAATGACATAACTTATGTCATTTAAAATGACAAACATCAAACCCTTATTATTATTGTCACAGATGTTGTAAAACTAATTCGTTAAGCATTATCACAATATTGCTTACTAACCAAGTCCTCACACAATAATTACTTTTACTATGTTTGGAAATGATTGTTTTTAGGAT